AGACGAAGTCCAGCATGTTTCAGAAATATTTTCACCGGGTGATTCATAGTGAATTAGAAATATGTTGGACCTGGTGGCGATCGGTTCGGTATTCGGCGTATTCGCCGTCTTATACACTATTCGGCGGAATACAAAATAGGAAATAAGTACTAAACCGTTTAGAACGTAAAATATATCACACCCCAAAAGAATTTTGCGTCAGAATAAGTCGCAGCACATTTACGCTACAACACTGATTTTCAGCAAAACCTGTTAGACAGCACATATTTTCTAATTGCAACGAATAATTTGGTAGTGTATTAGGTAATGTTATAAGTGTATGTAAGCTGAATGATTAAATGTGTTTCTTAGCATTGCCTTATTGCGAGAGATCGTGGGTTCCATTCCCGGGAAAACACTAAATTGTTCCACTCGGGAAGGACAGAATTATTAACTATTTGCCTCTAAATAAAACCGATCAGTGAAACAGACTCAGAAATGTGTTCGCCCCATGCCCCACGAGGGGAAACGGGAGTTTATGTAAGCTATTGTTTTCGTATTTATATCAATTTCTACCTGAACAAATTAAAACTCCTACATGTTTTTAAAAGCAATTTAGCAGAGCAGTTTAATTCTCAACGCCAGGCGCTCAAAATTCGGATTTTGGCGGTCTGCCATATTGGCTTATATCTTTCGTGTATACGATTATTTTATTGCCATAATAACCATCGGTCCCATAACATTGCATAATGACATAAAATAGAAAGTGACGCGATACAACGGGGTCAAAAACCAGGTGACGGTCGCCTTGAAATTAAATTCACGATTTGGCAAATCTTTATTTTAGTGCGCTTCGGTATCGATTGATTTATTTCGATGTTTTTTGAATTATTTCGAGAACGAAAATAAACTGTCACGTTATAATGTAAAACATTTTAATTTATATATTTATAAAAGTTTCCATGTTGTTTTATGTATTCCAAATTTAAATGATATTAAAGAATTAAAAATGGAATAAATAACAAGATTTCGCAAAGAATGAAGGTTGAACACAGTGAGAATTATATAGATTATTATTATATTAGAGAATTATATTGGTGTTTTGTGTTCGGGATCGGTTGAGGTAGATCGAAATAAGCATAAGATTCGCTGGGGTGAGCGTAACAGTGAGCAAATCGATCGCTATCGCGCTTTATGTAGTGCTAAGTTGAAAGATGTTAGCTTCCCGAATGAATTGAGTGGTTGTTGTGACCAAATGTGTAGCAATATTTTACATAGAAATACTATAGATAATTTGTATGCGCATATTATAGACATTCTATCGGCGGCAGCAGAAAGCACATATTATTATAAAAGTACTGTAAATAAGGGTAAGAAAACTGTGGTGGGGTGGAATAGGCATGTTTATCCGTTGCATAAAGAGGCACGGCATCATTTTCTTTATTGGAAGGCGCACGGGCGTCCAACCGCGGGTCCTCTTTATGATAACATGACGAAAACGCGGCGTTTATTTAAAGCCAAGTTGAAATGGTGTCAAAATAACGCAGATCGGATAAGGATGGATATTCTTGCCTCCCACAATACAAACAAGAACTTCAGGCAATTCTGGAAATGTACAAATAAGCTGAACTATAGGGCTAGTGTTCCCCAGAGTGTGGGTGGTGTCTCAGAACCGGAACAAATAGCAAACTTATTTAAAGAGCATTTTAGAGTCGAGCCGCCACCTGCATCTTCGGCGTCGGTGCTCGCTGCTGAGGCCTGTCGCGCTATTTCTAGCCCTCTGGGGTTCAGTTCGAGAGAGGTAGCTTCATGTTTAAAACGAATAAATAGGGGTAAATCTCCGGGACACGATGGACTCAGTATCGAGCATCTGGTGCATGCTGGTGAGCACCTGCCTAGAGTGTTATCAATGTTTTACACGTTTTGTATAAGGCATTCATATCTTCCAGCGGCATGTATGAAGACCATTGTTGTACCAGTAATCAAAAATAAAACGGGAGATCTTTCGCAAATAGATAATTACAGGCCTATCTCATTAGCTACGATAGTCGCGAAGGTGCTGGACAGTCTGCTTAATGACCACCTTTGCAAACACGTAGATCTAGATGACGCACAGTTCGGTTTCAGGCCGGGCTTGTCCACGGAAAGTGCAATATTCTGTCTTAAGCAGACGGTCCAGTACTACACCGCCAAAAGCACCTCGGTCTTTGCGTGTTTTTTAGATATGTCCAGGGCGTTTGATACAATTTCTTATGACCTTCTTATGCACAAATTAAGAACGAAGACAAGGGTTTCAGAGGAAGTTGTAGGAGTTTTTGATTATTGGTACTCCAATCAGGAGAATTGTGTAAGATGGAGTAATGTGGAGTCTGAGACGTATGGGCTAAAGTGTGGGGTAAGGCAGGGGGGGGTTACATCTACCTGTCTTTTCAACCTATACGTCAATGACCTCATAGAGCGTCTTAGGAGCAGTGGTGTAGGCTGCTCAATAGATGGAATAAGTGTGAACAACATTAATTATGCTGATGATATGGTGTTGCTAGCTCCCTCGGTGAGCGCCATCCGAAAGCTCTTAAAAATCTGTGAAGACTTTGCTGATGCTCATGGCCTCAGCTACAATACAGCCAAAAGTAAGTTACTCGTTTTTCAATCGCGAGGTGATAAGATAGGCGTAGTTCCTGCAATAATGCTCAAAGGTGTACCACTACAACGAGTAACTGAGTATAAGTACTTAGGTCATTGTGTCACGGAGGACCTTTCGGATGGAGCTGACCTGGAGAGAGAAAGGAGGGCTATGGCGGTAAGGGGTAACATGTTGGCCCGTAGGTTTGCACGAAGCTCAAACGATGTCAAAATCGTCTTATTTAAGGCTTATTGCCAATCATTCTACTCGTGCAGCTTATGGGCCTCCTTTACACAGAGAGCACTGCATGCTATTCGTGTGCAATACAACAATGTTTTCAGGTTGTTATTGGGCTTGCCAAGATACTGTAGTGCGTCGGGCATGTTTGCGGATGCACGTACAGATGGTTTCCACGCCATCATCCGCAAGCGTGTAGCTTCCCTCATGTATCGGGTTCGACAAAGCACCAATGGCATTCTGGGGGCATTGTGTGAAAAGTATACGGTGCTGCTAAAACGATGGAGTGACGTCCATGCTCCCCCTTAGCGCCTAGCACCTATTCTATGTATTCTGTCTATTTAATTTTAGTGACTAACACATTCTAATATACATTTTAAGTTAAAAATTGTTACTAACCCAACTAACGCACATTAGAATTAATTAATTATGTATTATTTTAAAATAATGTATGGATCTATGGTCTGACAAATAAATTATTATTATTATTATTATTATATACCCTAATGTGGAATGGGAATCTAATCTAAGGGGGTATGGGGAAATGGGTGGAAAGATGTGGGTGACCGATCATCGTACCTTTTATCGACCTTAAAACTCCAATATAAAATAACATTAATTATTCAATTATCATTTTGTTAAACACAGTGAAAATACGTTTGTTCAAAAGCAATTGACCCAAGATGTCAAGTTCAACATATTATTTTAAAATACTATAAACAGTGAGACAAAATACAATGAAACTGTTCGTGAATCGTAGAATAATTTTAGCTCTAAAATACCACTCAGCTACATTGGGACTATTATGCCCACAATGATATTCTTTAGGTCAGAGGCTGAGGCTTAAAGAAAAAAGTTCCAAATTTCCACACTGTTGTTTGATTAAATGTCTCAATCCACAATAACACTTTTAACAGTTTGGACATTGGAAATCCACAGACTAAAAATGCTGCAGATTTAACATTTCTCATCTCTTTTATCTGTAATTAAATAAATGTAAAATACAAGTTGTGACCAATTGCCTTATTTCTACAATTTAATTAATTTCCAGATTTTCAGACGTTTTTAAGGCTAACATGTTTTGAACATCAGAAAAAAATCTACTAAGATCTTGAACCCACTAGAAATCGAATTTGCGACCTGACTTTTCACCACTGCACTGAGCCCGTAAAAAGATCATTACGTTAAATTTCTTATTGATTTTTTGATCATCACTACAAAACTAACACTCAATAAATAATAACGTCGATATTGTTAGACCTAGGATGATGGTCATTTTTTTAGAACGACGCGCGTCACTTGTTATTTCAAACAAAGTTTTCAGTGAAATATAAGCTATTCGGAGGATGTTTTACAGCCAGTAAAATTTATAACTTCCTCAAGCAATTAAAATGTCTTTTCTCTAATTACCTAATATTGAGTGACATATCATATTTTTTATGGAACCTATTTGCGTCAATGGTTTATAGATGTATACATGACACCCTTAGTTTTACAAGGACTCAGCCGGTTTCGTCAAATATCAACTACGAAGGAACAGATGGCGCTGGTGTAGCAGTTTTTACTTTGTTCCGCCATCTTTAGTCTTCCCTTGACCATGGCTGCTGCAAAGCTTAAGAAATGTCGGGCTGTGGTTAAAATGATTTGTAATTAAGTTTCGTTAATACATTTCGCGGTTTAAACCGTTAAAGTGTTTTATTCAAATATGTACTACTCGTGTAAATTACGGACAGTACTTAAACATTTCGCGAATCCTTCGTTCTAGATCTGGCAGGTGCCCTCACAAAGTTTTCCTCCGCCGGAGGCGACGGGCCAAAAGTCCTAAATAAATATTTTTGAAGTAAAACCGAGAGTCAAACTGCCGACTTCGCAACACCGACACGGCTTTAACTTATTTAAATACTATAAAATAAACAGAATTTTCCAGAAGACCATTCCGTCAACAATCGAATAACAAGAAACGAAACGACATCGTTTTTGAAGAAATGTCCTTTTTACGAGCTATCTTGGTAAGTACAACATTTATTGCTTTATTTATCTATAACGAGTTGTAGGGTTGTACCTAAAATGTAGCGTAATTTTTAATAATAACATACCTAATTAAAATAACAATTTCTTGTATCCTATGTCCTTCATGTGTGCAGTGACTTCATAAATGAAGTCACTGCACGCCTGAAATAATTTATTGTATTGAAAAATATTAATAATCCTTAAAAAATATTTAATTATATTAAAGTTTATGAGTAATTATTTATATTCGTATTGCTGGAATCTCTTCACTTTATTGTTTAATTCATTTGAATAATTTATTACTTTATTTATTTATTTACAAGAAAAAAAAACAGAATACAGGTAAAACATTAATTAAAGATAGACATCAATTAATGATAGACAAATACTGCCCGCAGTTTACCCGAATGTTGAACGGTTTAAAACGCGTTGCATATTAGTTAAACTTATTTGACAATTATTTTAACTACGGCCCGGCGTTTCGAATGCTTGAGGAATCATGGGACGACCAATACGTTTAACTAATATATATAGAGTGTATTAGCAGGCTCACTAACGAGTTGTGACGAAACCCACCCAACGTTTGAGATGTAGTTAACAACCCTATTTGTTTTTTTATTAGACCCAGTTTCTCAGTTACGAGTCAGCTCTTTGGGTAATCGTACTTGATAATAGAAAACCGCGGAACATTATTGCATCTTTATGTTTTTATCTCTCAAGACGTTCAGCGTGACTTGTTTATATTGTTACTAGCTAACCTGGCAAACGTTATTTTGCCACAATATTTAAATTAAATATATAAATTAAAAACTTTTGGGTCTCTTGAAACGTTTTCGCATTGCACGCAACGAAAACTTTCAAAAATGAATATTTCTTCCGTTATTTCTATATTTCCCTCTATTTCTTCCCTTTTTTTGGTCGCAGTGTCATCACACTATAAAACATCTTTAATAGCCTAAAGCCTTCCGCGGCAAATAGGCGAACCGACCTGAACAGCACTGAATATTATTATTAATAATTTTTCAAATTAAATGAACGTGATAAAGAAGCCAATTTTGTATTTGTAAATGTGACCGTTAGTACGTCTCAAATAACTTTATGTACGGGAGGTTTGGGTTCGAATCCCTAATATTCTCTTATCAACTTTTTAGTGTACGTACATAAAGAACAAACATACACAAAAATGTATCAGATCCACGTAGGAGAAATGAGATTGGAGGCTATATTGCAATTACAGTAAAATATAATAATTTTGTTAGTCTGGTAAATGATAAAATACGCTTACTTTTTACTTGTCGTTGATAGCCACGACAAGTAAAAAGTAAGCGTTTCCAAACAAATAAAGACACCAATTTACCAAAATGATTTTAATATCTATATAATTGATCGTCTATTTCAACAATTCCTCTCAAGCCCGGCTAGCTCAGTCGGTAGAGCATGAGACTCTTAATCTCAGGGTCGTGGGTTCGAGCCCCACGTTGGGCGAAACTTTTAAATTTTTTTTAATATACAATGTACTCCTATTTTACACTAACCTGCTATTTTTCTTTCTCTCATCTTGCGCCACAGTTGTTCAGCTTTTCTCATCGGCCAATTTTCAATTTTCGCGCTGAAGCTTCTGAAGAACTTGTATTCTTTGAAGTGTGACATTCTTCTCTCCATTTTCGTGGGCATCTGGTTGGGGGGAGGGGATGGTGCTTTCGGTGTACCGGAAGGTGACGCCATTTTGTTTTTGGAATGAGTTTAAATTCGGATTTCAAATGGTCCCATTAGTCTATGTCGGTATTGTATTAGGTTTTGAATAGTTAACTTTACTTAAAAATATCTATAAGGTTTCTTAGGCAATTCCTTAATACACAAAATACGATATTTAACGAGTTTTAAACTAGTAAATAGTGTTTCTTTAGAAAATATCTAATTTTGCTAAAATGATAGAATATTTGAAACATTAACGGTTTTTAAATATATCTTCTGTTTTAAATTTGGAATCTTCTGTTTTCCGCTGCACTAATTAGCCTGAAAAGAAAGAAAACTCAAATTAGTGTACTAAAACTTACTTGCGTGTAACGAATGAATTGTTTTTCTTAACCACTATATATATTGTTTATATAAAGAGACAAAAAATTGTTGATTATTCGTTGAATTCTAGGGCAGTTTTCAAAAACCAAAAATATCAAAAACGTGGTACATCCTACGATTTTTCACTTATATCACACAAATCAAACGCAATTTACGTCAAAAATATATAGTTAAGGATTGGCCCGGTTTTCGGACAATGGAGACAATAAAATACCAATTTACATATGTATAAAAGTGTTCGCCTTGCGTCTGTAACCAATGCTAGCCTGTGATAAATATATTCTGAATTTTGCAATCCTACAAAAATAAAGTCTACCTTGATATTCTACAGTTATATTCTCTCTACAGCTGTTTTTATCTCTTAAAGGGTTTGCTTCTAAAATAAGATTATAAATATTAAAGGTATGGGACACACACATTTCACTGATGGGTTTTTTTACAGGACAGTAGTTGATCATTCGTCTGTGCCCCCCAGACTGACACAATCTGATGTTTTCCGGGAATTCGAAACCGTATGAAGTGTGTGTGTAAGGTACCCAAAAAAATCTGTTGTCACGTTTAGTAAAGGAATTTCATAAGTCTAGTGAAGTCACCTTGAAAGAACAGAAATCGCGTAAGCTATTCAGTAATTAAGAGTAATTACGTTTCGTTTTGGACGAAAATTCAATATGTTAAGTGTTCCTTTACAGATTACAGCTACGAAAGTTTTGATGGATCAAAACATAATTATTTAATTACGTTACATATTGAGATTATGGCCGTGGTATAAACTCTACGAACACAATTTGATAATTAAGGCTTTGACATTATTCGAATTAAAATTTATTGATATTAGGTTAATTTAAGATTTAAATCTGTTTTATGATAGTGGAGGACAGACAAGTATCTCATTTAGTTAGTCATGAAGAATGGCTCTATATAAATAGACTCGTTCCAACATGTTTTAGAAAGAAAATAAATAGATGAATATCGTCTACACACTATCTGTGTGTTTGCCCCAAGCTCCACGAGGGGGAAACGGGATTTCACACACAATATATATCGCGTTTTAAACCGTTAAAGTGTTTTAACTAAATATCATCTACAATTAACGAAAGTGGTACTTTTTATGGTTTAAACCGCGAAATCTATTAGTTAACTTATTTACGATTTATTCTCATATACGTGTTTTATATTGATTTGATTTTATTATTATAAATGGACCCTAGTTATAGATTGCTAATACTCACGTTCGACCAACGAACTAGTTATAAGTTCCTACTAGAATTCACAAGAATTTAATTGCGTAGTAAAAGTCAAACACTAAGCACAAGTGAAGCCACAGGTCAAATCTAGTATAGCAAAGTGAAAATACAATCTCGTTATCATAAGATGTTCATATCAAAAAAGCCGAAAGGGTCCCCTTTGGGCCTTTTGCTCACTTGCTCATCTCTATATAAATATTTCAAAGGGCAGCGTGGAGATCACAAGTCAGATTCAAGCTCAAAGGGAACATCTTACGTATTACTGAGTATTGCAAACAATAATTAATAATAATAATACTTTAATAATTAACAAACCCACACATACAAATATATCGTAAAACAAAAATAATAATTATTATTAGGAATAAGTTAATAATTCAATTTTTTTCTATGGGATTTGTTTAGGTACTCGGAGAAAGTTTGCGCTATAAATTTCATTGATGTGTTGACGCGATTCCAAAATGATGCTACCTCTTAAAGTGTGACTTCTTTTGTTTTGCTGCAAAGTTCTTAAAACGTTAGTACAATTCAAGGTTATTATTTTAACTACTCATAACTAAAAACATTATAAATATCGTCAGTCCGAAAACTATAAGTTCCCACAGCTGGGACTCAAACCCTTTATAACTTAAAATGTACAAGGGTAAATAAAAACTCTATTTAAATTGAACGAAAAGTGCGCCATTACGGGCGAGACTTGAACTGATATCCACAGCGTTGTGCTGCTGCTCTAACCACACGGTAGCTCATTTGGTCATTTTTTTAATCTAAATATTTTTTTATTTTTATATAATGCCATCATGTTGATCATGTGCAATAACATGTAAAAACGATAAATATTTTCCAATATGTACAAAGGGGACGAAATGCGACAAAAGTACACCTTTAAATGAAACACTTTAACGGTTTAAAACGCGATATATTAGTTAAACTTATTTGAAAATGATTTTTAACTTCGGCCCGACGTTTCGGATGCTTTGCAGCGGCCGTGGTCACGGGGAGACCATCGCGTTTTAAACCGTTAAAGTGCTTTATTTAAATGTGTACTACTCGCGTAAACTACAGACAGTATTTCATTATTACTGTTTTAAGTAATTATAATGTAGGTATATGTGTAAATCGTCATATCATTACAAAAGATGAATGTACGTATTTTGTACATATTCCAAAATCTATAAATATAAATATATATTATGATGCTTTGCGATTATACAAATATCATGTCCACTAAAATAAAACCCTTTTTAACGGTACAGGTTGCAAATTTTACTAGGTGAGTAGTTTTAAAGTACAACGTTTCATATACCGTGAGTTTTATATTAATGATACTATTAAATTTTTACGAATTATTTAGTTTAGATTAAAATGAGAACTCACCTCACTATTTCGTCTTTCACTATGTACAGTTTCACTTAATCCTATGACAAGCACAACACCAATAAGAGACACTAGGATAGGATAGTCAAAAAGTTTAAGCACTGCACTACGTCCAGCTGAAAGCTTGCGAAACTGAAAACGTCCTGTCTAAGCGCTTGAATCTACAGGTCTGAGGAACCGCATTGGCGCAAATTTCCCGCGCTAAGAGCGAAAAGGACAGCACCATTCGACATATATGTTGGAACGAGATAGATACATGTTTGAGAATGCGCGAAAAATGTGTCCACGTTTGGTCTAACGTCATAGCTTGGGACGGTATAAAATAATATTTTTATTTAAACGGGCATTAATTTGACGCTTTTGCCAACAAAACGGTCAGCTGGAAAAGTTAAGAGTTTTTTGGCGAACTGCAGAATATACACGCTTTGTTTGAATAGCACGAAAAATACTTCAATTATGTTTAGAATCCCATAAATTGAATAGAACTTTATATTTATAAACGTTAGTTTAATAGTACATTATGATAGAAGTGCGGTAAGTTGAAAATTACAGCCGAGGCTATATTACTAGCCCGAGCCACCGGCGAGGGCTAAAAGAAAGCAGAGGCTGTAATTTTCAAAGAGCACGTATGTCATACGACGTTTTATAACATATTTACGAGTAACTTAATAAAAACAATACAGCGAAAAGAAAAAACGCGCGGAATTATTTTCACTCGTCCACAAATAAGCGATGCGCGCGCATCAACTTTTTTTTTAGGCAAAGGTACAAAAACAGCCAGTATTAGTAATAAAGTAAATTAATATTTTTGTGTTTTTGTTACAGATAAATGGTTGTAATTTATTGTCAAAAGTAATTAAATTAAATAATTAAATGTTTATTTGTTATATTTTATTTCCCAAAGTTAATTTTATTCATAAAATATTGACCACTTTCTTGACATAAAACCTCTTTGCTACGATTTTTAAGAGTATCGTTAATTTTTAGACGTAGAGTAGAGAAGTAGAGTATCTTAAAACTTTATTAAAAAGAAACATGTGTCTTTTACATTACATTATCGCACAAGTACGTAATGAGATACATTACGATATTGAAATTAGTGTAATTACAAGCACTTTACGATCAAATATGTTATAAATATATTTTTGTATTTTTCTAAATTCACAGATAGATGACGTTTCCTTTTAGCTATAGGGCAATCACATTACTGCCTCCCCCCACTCCCGGGAGGTCTCCCCGTGACCACGGCTACTGCAAAGCATCCGAAACATCGGGCCGAAGTTAAAAATCATTTTTCAAATAAGTTTAACTAATATATCGCGTTTTAAACCTTTAGAGTGTTTTATTTAAATCTATTGTTTGTTAGTTTTCCCCAGGATTGAATCTAGGACCTCTTATAACTTAGCCATTGAGTATCGAGGCGGTATTATGTACTTGGTCACTTTTTAGAAATAAATAAAAAAAACTAGGAATTTAATGAGTTTATCGTTAATAATCATTTATTAAGCATTCCAAATGTTTTAAATCAATTTCCTATGTTTTTGTTCTTCAATTACTCGATAATCTTTCAGGTGCTAATCTTAGTTCGTCTAGACTAAACTATTATTTCGAACTTTGCTTTTAAAAAGGTTTATTAGTCTTGAAGTGAATCAAGCTGTTTCACCAGACACAATACGTTTTGTATTTATGTACTTAATACAAGAAGCGTCTTATACTTGGTTAATCAGGTACATTTTTAATACATAATTAATAGAAATTATAATATATATTAGAAAAACGATTTTTGCGGATGCGGTAGGAATTACCCTTTAGGATAAGTAGCTACGATGACGTAACGTAACGTAAGTAGCTAAGTTTGTTTAATAGATACACATGCAAGTAGGTACGAGTATATGCTGATGATATTCGTTTTGTTCAGCAAAACCCATTTACACATTCTTCGATGATTATCTCTTATTATTGACCCAGGCACACGTACCCACGTAGGCACGGTAAACCCATGGATTGCAATAATATACGATTTAA